TGGTGCTTACCAAGCGAAAACTAGCCGGGTCTTTGGGCACTGTTATTGCTCAAATAGGGTTAGTTATCCAACGCGCATGAGCCTTTCTTATTCACAACCAAGGACCAGTTTAACTGTCATTCTCCACGTCGCATGCAACCCCGCTTCTGTATGAGTTCCTGATGGTATGCAGAATCAGATATTATTCATTTTTCATTTGGGTTGGTGACTTATCGTTATTCACAAATCCAAGAGACCGGCACTTATCAGAATCGGTCTGGCGTGCGTACAGACACCACTGTACGGTGTGTATCGCTTGGTTGGCGTCAGTAGTTTTCCTCTAAACTTACCCTTTACGAGCATTTATGAGTAGCCATATGTGACGTAATAGTTCACTGGTCCTGACGAGTTTCGAAACAGCTCAACAAGAATTCTGTGTTGTGTGATCGAAGTGACGGTATGAACCGGTTTCACAAATGCATTCATTTATCTGATCGGTTCCGTTCACACCACTTTTCACTCAGATATGCATTCGCGGTATTCGGTGTACCAAAGGCTACTACAAAGATGAGGAAAACACCCGCAAACTGTTCGACAAAGACGGATTCCTCCGAATGGGTGATATTGGCCAGTGGACGCCGGTACGTTGCAATCTCCACTTTGTTGTACATTGCTCGAAATCGGTCACGTCCTTGAAAGTGAACCCAATTTTATTTCTGGCTAAGACTGAACGCACTAGGCTGTTTTTGAGGTTACTCTGTCAGTAGTTCGCTGTGCTTAATCTTGGCTGTTTTTTGTTGTACTTCACATAAATGTGCTATCGATGCTATCGGTTTAGATGCTTATACGGTGAGGTCAATTCACTATTCCCAAACTGTAACGTCGCACAGCTGCGCGACGATTTGTTTGCTGTCTGTTGGATGATGAAGTTATGACTCGGGGACTTGAAAGCTAATAACTCCATGAAACTAAAGATATTGCGAAGCAAGTAGACTGGATCTGACAAAAATGTGACACTTACATAGATATTACTCAGTTTCTTTAATCGTTACCTAAACTAATCCCGAGACCCAGAATCGGGAAGGCTAAAGCGACCTTCATGTTTAATATCCCTCTATCGTTTGAAATTTCCCAATTATCTTTTCAGGTACGATTTTAACCATCGTTGATTTTCTTCTATCGACTATCTACCTAACTAAGGATCGCATTTAAAAGGATTCTGTTCAGTTTCAGTTTCGAGTGTCGGTTTTGGTTGCTGTCTTTTGACTGCCCATTTAGATAAAGGAGCCGAAGAAAGATTGGAATGTTGAGAGCAGAGTCAAAGAGGGGATCGATAATTCATATAGACTGGGGTTGCCTTGATAATGAGAATGTGCACGAGCGTCACTGATTGTTTTTCAACACAAACGGTAATGGGTCACTTACTGTGACCACCGCTACTCACTCAATGAATACTGTCTGGAAAGGAAGTAGAAATTCACACGTTTTTCATCAGTCCGCTACCCACTTCACTATTTCACCTACTCACTAACAGGTTTTCTACTTTTTGATTGATTGATCGCTTCGAATTTGATGGTAGCTATTGTGATGCAGAGACAAACGTGAGTCACACTTTTGACCTCGAGTCTCTCACTGTTCGTTTGGGGTCAGTGGTCTGAAAATCGTTGGAGTACGCTTTGAATCTGTTCCGGTTCCTTGGGGCCTGTGTTAGTCATATCTGTTCTCACTTGGCGTCCACAAGTGAACTCACTGTCTCTTCACTGCTGTGAGTAGTGCCGTGTCCCGTTTAAGTGAGTAAACAACCGTGTAGTGAATCAAGCAGTACGTGTGCATGTAGCACCGGTCCAAGGACCGGTGAGCAAGTACCCAGTCAGGTCAACAACCAAGGCAAGTGTGACGAAAAATCAGAATGCTGTCAAACAGCCAAGGCAGTCAAAAACCCAATCAACGCGGATAGATAAATACTGATATCTGGTTTGCTGAAGCCATTACAACGAGACTGTACCTTGGCGTGGTGTGATGGCTTGCGTGCCTCCATTGCCCTACGAGCTACACAGGATGGCTTTTCACAGCCTTAGATCCAATCATTCCTGGAAGGTCAACGGGTGGAGGTCAGACGAAGCTCAGTCTCACAAGGCCAACTGCTTGGGCACCTCCTGGCTTCCTCATCTATCCTCCCCCGCTCCTGAAGAGGCTACTCCAGGAAATAAATACGGTGAGGGGCAGTTTACCGGCCAAAAAAAACCCCGCTAGATGGACGTAAGAGCGGGGTACCTGGGGCTTCCTTTCGACGATAGGAGAAGTCTTCGCACTTCATTGGACAACTACCGCCCGCCCAATCTAAGCAGCCCCCCAGCCAATAAGGTGCTGTCCCGTCCACGTTTCGCTTGTCTCATTGGGTGCATGAGGCTAAGGGCTGATCCCGAAAAGCGGACCGATATTCAACGCACTAAACCGAAATTCAAAATCCTTGCGTGATAGGTCTCCAGAAGCTCCCACACGGGTGCTTCGTTCACGCTCCCGCGTTGGATTTACACCCCACTGCCTTATGGGTCAGACTTTTGAGTCAAAGGCTCCAGTTAGGGTTCTCAAAGAAAACCCTATGAATTCCCGCTGCCTGGTGGGTCAGACTCATGAGTCAAAGGCTCCGATTAGGGTTCCCAAAGAAAAAGCCCTTCGTCGGTTTGGGCAACCGCGAATTATTCTTTCCCCTTAAAGTCTTAGGCACTCATTTGGGAAAAATCTCGGATCTCTTCTCACTCCCGAATAACCCCAGACGTCTGTGTACGCCACCTATCGGATATCACTCAGCCTTTTATCAGCAAGCCCAAACAACCAGAAGTTACGGGATTCTTGAAGCCAAAATTTCCTTTTCACTTAATCGCGTTTAATGTCCGTACACTCTGTCAGATTGGTCAGCAAGCTGCCTTGGCTAGAACCCTTTCAATTTAGATGTATGCTGTGTCTCCGAAACACGCATACAAGACCCTACTTCAATCATCTCCTTGCGTTCTCCAGATCCAACCTCATCCTCACGCTNAAGCTCGCGGTGTTGCTGGTATTAGGATTGCGCTGTGTCACTTCTGGATTGGATCCCGGTTAACAGCCGACTTTGCGCCGTACGTTTGGATGGTTCAGTACGAGTCAACAGATACAGAACGAAACGTCGATGTTTATTCGTCGTATCCGCGTATGCACCGACAGATTGCAGTGCACCTGAAATCAAGGATGAATTCTACACGGATCTCTCTCAACTGCTTCGAATTGCTCGGTCGGCGGACATCGTGGTAGTCGCTGGAGACTTCAATGCTCAAGTGGGATCCCTGGAGGAATCAGAAAGGCTTCTTGGTGGACCACATGCAATCCCAGGCAACCGGACGGACAATGGCGATCGCATACTTTAACTTTGCATGGACCACGGATTGTTCCTGTCAAACGCGAGCTTCTCGCACAAGAAACGACACCGCCTTACATGAAAACCACCATTCTCTTCACTGCGCTGGACCCTGATCGACCACATCACCATCAGTTACTGCTGAAGAGGGTCGATTCAAGACTTCCGCTCTTACTGGTCCACACCTGTGAATACGGATCACACTTTGCTACGAGCCAAATTCTCCTTACACCTGGCAAACAACCGCAAGGAAGCCGCTGACAACGGATACCCATAATAGAACGTCAGCAGTTGCTGCAACTCGGCCTTCGAAGCAGAACTCTCCGATCATCTATCAGCTCAATCACCAACCGAAGGACTCGATGAATACTGGAAGCAAATCAAGAAAGCTATGCAAATGTCCATAAAAATAACGTCGGACCCTGCCGCAAGCTGAAAACACCAACGATGGATTTCGTCGACCTCGGCTGCCCTGCTGGACACTCGCAGAACTCTCCCTCCGGATGCCACATATGACAGCGCGCAAATCCCTCGAACGCCAGCTTATCAAGAGTTTGAGGAATGACGGCGAGAAGTGGTAGATAGGAAAGTGTAGAGAGATGGAGAAGGCTGCGGCTATTGGTAACAGTCGAAATCTTTTCCGTCTAATTAGGAATACGGGTCCTAGGAAAATAGGCGTAAATGAGGTAATTAGGGAACCCGATGGTACACGGATTCACAATCAGCAACGCCGCCTTGACCGTTGGGCAGAACATTTCAAGGCTCAGTTCAACTGGCCCCCATCGACATCTGAACTATCACCGTCCACCCAGACTGAGCAAATATTCCCAGATAATGCCAGTCCTCCATCTGACATGGAGGTTTCCCGGGAAATAAGTTATCTAAAAAGACATGAAGCCTCCGGCCCAGACGGGCTGTCCCCATCCGTTTTTTAAGGATGGAGGGTCAGCCTTAGTCTCGGAGTTAACAAAACTCCTGGGCTCACTGTGGTGGAGAGAACAGATTCCAACTGAGTAGTGTGAATCGGTCATCATACAAATTTACAGGTGACAGATCTTCTTGTGAAAACCACAGAGGAATTAGTTCAATCAACATCGTCTCTAAACTTCTCGCTGTGATCGTACTCCGTCGATTATCTGCCGCACGTGAACGGTTCACGCGTGAGAACCTAGCTAGCTTTAGATCTGGTCCAGGTTGTATCGATCACATCTGCACTCTTCGCCAAACTCTGGAGCACCGACATTCTTTTCGTAGACCCACCATCTCTGTCTTCCTCTATCTGAAAGCGGCTTTCGATTCAGTCGACCGCTCTAAACTCTGGCGCTGCCTTTCTGTGAAAGGTGTGCCCGAGATGTTTATTTCTGTATTGCAATCCGTTTATACTAATAGTCGAAGCCGACTCTGAGCTTACGGCACGTTTTCACCCGAGTTCACCACAGAAAGTGATATTCGTCAAGGTTGCCCTCTCTCCTTTTCTATTTAACTTTGTTATAGATCTGATTGTGGAAACAGCCCTATCCTCGTGCGAGGATCGTGGCATCGATTTACTCCCAGGGGGCAGGCTGTCTGATCTAGAATATGCAGACGACATTCTGCTACTAAGTGGAGATCCGGGTAAGTTACAAGCTGTTCTGGATAGTTTGAGTGCTAGTGTTACCAGGTTCGGTATGCGTTTTACACCTTTAAAGTGTAAAATGTTACTTCAAGACTGGGTTGGTCCTGCCCCCAGCCTCACCCTAACTGGGGAAGTAATAGAGCA